AGTAAGATAATGCATGTGAAGAGTTTATTATTAGCACAGTGCCTGGCCCACACTAACACTTGATAAATACGAACTATTATTACTGAAAAGGCAACTTTTTAGCCTATGCAAAATACAGATATACTAATTTAATTTACGGGACACTCCAAGATGAATGGATCTGTTCCCCTCTTAAAAAATAAATTATATGCCTGGGCTTTTCAAGTCAATGCTGTCTGTGCCACAGCTAACACCCCAAACATACTTCTAGAAATGAATCTCAGTTCTGCTGTCTGGTATTCCCCTCAGCCCATCTCTGTGTGAATGTTAAGTGATTTTCATTTAAATATATGTCTTTGTTAGACTCTTCTATCTTCATACTCCCCGCCCCCCATGATAAAGCATGCCTAAAAATATGGCTCTGTGATTAACATACAACATAAAAAGTAGATGTACTCAAAAAACCTGTCAGTAAACACAAACTCAAACTCCACTGCTAATAAATTCTTAACAAAAGCTCCACTGAGAAACAAGATATTTATGGAAAGTAACCTGAAGAATGTTCGATCCCCATCTACTTACCTAGATTAGATAATCTAAAAAAGGTCCTTAAATTAAATCAGTCTAGAGGTCTCAAGTACGTAGGTCACATTATTTTGCCAGCACTGAAACTGTTTTTACTGAATTATGTTTTGATATCATGTCATCAACCTACAGAAGGAGACATGAGGAATTTTACTAAAAAACAAAGTAAAACACAACACAGCCCTTTGAAATGAATGCTGTATTTACTTAAGGATGTAGCTGAGATTCTCACTACAAGGAGTCTTTGGGAATCCTAAGGAAGAAACTGGGGTTTTTTTCTCTTATAGTCACTAAACCATAACTGATTATACAGGGTGGGGAAAAAGTAGGTTTACAATTGTGAGGAGAAACAGACTTTATTCTTGTTATTATTTATTATTATTTTCCATACGAGCAACTGTAAACCTACTTTTGCCCCACCCTGTATTTCCCTGTGAACTGGCTACTAAAAAGCAGTCAAATTTGTGATCCTCCAACAAATACTTATGACTCAGTCCAAGTACTTTGTGTTCAGATCTTATTCCTGTTTCCATCTTTTTCTCCTCAGTTCTGAATTCATCACCCCTTATTTCTGCATGTTACCAACAATATGTTGTATATATCTTTGTAAGTCATTATGAACCCATTCTGGAACAAGATGTGATATAATGATATGCTGTACTTAAAAAACATTATAGCATAGCCCTGGCCAGCATGGTTCAGTGGTTAGAGCACTGGCCTTCGAACCAAAGGGTTGCAGGTTCAATCCCCTGTCTGGGTCTGCAGCGCATGCTGGAGGCAATCAATCGATATGTCTCTCTCACATCGATGTCCGTCTCTGTCTCTGTCTCTCCCTCCCTCCCTTCCATTCTCTCTAAAAATCAATGGAGCACGGCTGGCGTGGCTCAAGGGTTGAGCATCAACCTAGGATCCAGGAGATTGAGGTTGGATTCCCAGTCAGGGCACATGCCCGGGTTACAGGCTCGGTCCCCAGCAGGGGGCATGCAGGAGGCAGTGGATCTATGGCTCTCTCATCATTAATGTTTCTCTCCCTCTCTCTGAAATGAATAAAGATATATTTTAAAAATGATAATACTTCTTTAAAAAAAATCAATGGGAAAAAATATCCTTGGGTGAGGATTAACAAAAATAAATAAATAAATAACCTTAAAAAAATTATAGCACAATAAAATATTTTCCTCCATTAATAAACATTTTATAAGTTCAATTTCTAAAGGCATTATCTTTTTTGTGCTAAAAAAAAAAAAAAAGAAGAAAATGTTTTAGCAAATATTATATCTAAAATTAGGAAATTCTAACAACAGAGGAAATATAAAAATAAAGCACTTTCATTATGTATTTTTAACTTTAGGGCACACAGAAAATTATAAATATATCCCTGTGTAAAAATCCCCCAAAGTCATTTTTAAAAAAAATACAGAACAAATCACCATAAACGAATTACAATTGAGTATTTATTCTGAATGGGAACTGACTAGACTTGCTTCAAAAATGATTCATAAGATTTTTGTACAACTCCTTCTGAGTTGCCCTGTGTAGCACAGAGGATGCTGCCAACCATTCCTTAATGTGGACAGCACAAAATTTAGAGCTCTAAAGGCTCCTGCAACATGCCTGCTTCAGAGATATCCGTGATCTCCTTGCTGTCATTTAAGGAAAATAAAAAGCTTAGCACTCTCTTAGTGTGTAAAATTTACCCATTTATGAACTCATACTTGTCATTCTGATAACTTCTGACTTACATATGTATTTAATTAATTGATTATAATTACAGTTCTTCAGCTACCAGAAACATGAAAAAATGTTCTACTATACAATAAAAATTACACTTTCTAGCCCAACAGCAACTTCACCAAAAACAGGAATCTCACTGGATAATTTGAAAGCAGCACCATCTGCCTTTTCTGAAAGCATTTTAGCCTTACCCAAATATCCAACAGATAAAGTATGAGTTACATAATATTAAGTAAGATAAAAATAAGTCAATTGTTGTTTCTCCTAAGTGTTTATTCAATAATAGCCTAACTTATATCAAGGTATTTCAGTCATATGAAACAACATAATGTTTCTACAATGCTTTATGAAAGAAGTGAGCATTTCATAAGACTTTCAAAATGTTTGGCCTCTACTGTGAAACTTGTTTTTAGTGTGATAACTTTATTTATGGTTTAAGAAGCCACTTAATAGCATTCCTATTCTGAGTCACAGAACAGACAGATATTATTACACAAGTATTGCCTACATTTTAGGAATGGGTCATCTCTGTTGGAGGTGTTTACTTTGCAACCAATAAAAACACATGTGCCAAAAATTAAACTCACTGTCAAAACTGAAATTCTATGTCTCTAGCCAAAGACTAACACAGTAAATCAAATAAGATCTTAGTTTTTCTGTCTGTAGATATTAAATTAAGTAGATTAATTTTTTTCACTGAAAAATAACAACCGAAATCAATGAATTCTCAAGTTAACAGGTAGTCTATGTAACATTTGTGAATGCCCAACTTGGATTAGAATGCAAAGAGGTAAAAGCAGAATTCCTGTTTACACAAGTTAAGAAATTAGCAGGGTCAGTCACTCATACACAAAGAAACAATTAGTAAATGTATATACAATTCAAACATTTAATAAGCAGAAAAGAGCACATAATCAAACACTATTGGGCACAATCCTCATCAGCCACATAGCAGCCTGTGTTAAGATCTGCATAAAACTCCTTTTTAACCTCACAATAACCCTCCCCTGGTTCAGTCATACACAGATAAAAGACCAAGCTCCAGCTCCTCCGTCCCTATCTGTCCCCGCCCTCTGCCCTGCACTTTTTCACTTTTCAAAAACCACCTCCAAATAGTTATTTGCCTCTTCTCTATTAGCTGCCCCACCCCCACATCCCACTTACCGCTAAAATTCCCACCCCACTTTGTTAGTCTCAATGTTACTCATTTCTTCCAGAAAGGTATTCCCTGACTCCTTCCTCCACCCTCCACACCCTGCGGTCACTCGGGTGAGAGGGGCCACTCAGGGTGCTGTCTTAGCTCACACTACCTACCACCTTGTATTTAAAGTTACTTTGCTCTTGCTCTCACGCTCCCGCCCTCTCGTCCT